TTGGAGGTCAGACATGTGAAGGGCAAGGCGAACTGCTTAGCAGATTGGCTAAGCAGGGACACTCTGAGAGGACATCACACAGTGGTTCACGAGGACAATTTGATATATAGAATCGAGTTGGAGGAACTGAACACAACCGCTCTGTCCGCGGTAAGAAACGCTACTATGGAGAGGATTCGGAGTGCCAGCGCAGTGGATTCAGAGGCGACAAGCCTGCGGGGCATGATCTCACAAGGGTGGCCTTCGGCCAGAGAAAGGTGCCCCACGGAGCTGGGTGCTTTTTGGAGGTTCAGATCCGAGTTGACCACAGAAAACGAGATCATACTCAGGAATACGGCAGTGTTCATACCGAAGTCCCTACGCCGAGAAATGCTGGAATTGGCACATTCCGGTCATTATAGGTTCGAGGCGTCATGGGAGAGAGCTAGAGAATGCATTTTATGGCCGTCGCTGAAAGCGGAATTGAGAGAATGGTGCGATTCGTGCAGCTCTTGTCTGTCTTACCAGCCACGCCAACCCAAAGAGAAACTATCACTCACTCCGGATGCAACGTATCCGTTCCAAATAATCTATCAAGATCTCTTCACGCACAGTGGTAAACAGTACTTGGTGACAGTTGACGTATATTCGGATTACTTCGAAATTGACGACCTCGGCGCCGATACTACGGCAGAGAGGCTCGTGAGAGCGACCCAGAAGCATTTTTCGAGATACGGGGCTCCCATGGAACTGCATAGTGATAATGGTCCGCAGTTCACGTCGGCAACGTTTCAAGATTTTCTCGCTTCATGGGGAACCGTTCACGTCACTAGTTCACCATACTTCCCACAAAGCAATGGGAAGGCAGAGGCGGCCGTAAAAGTTGCCAAAGGTCTGCTAAAGAAGTGCAAAATCAACGGAGAAGAATACGAATACGCACTTTTAGAATTGAGAAACACGATTCAATCGGACGGACTCAGCAGGGCTCAGAAATTTTTCTCGAGACCTCTTCGCAGCAAGTTACCTTCGCGAATGGACAGCAACTTCATCTTCGACGAAAATCTAGTGGAGAACAACGAGTCGAAGAGGAAGAAAGTAAAATAGCATTCGACAAGGGAGCCAAAACTTTGAAACGCCTGAGCAAGGGCTCAATAGTCAGAGTTCAACCTCAGGAAAATCAGGGAGATGGCTCAGAGGAACTTGTTTGCGAGAAGTCGCACCTCGCTCCTACAGGGTGAGGATGGAGGACGGGTCTGAGATAAGAAGGAATCGTAGACATCTTAGACAGGAACCTATCCAGCATGTCGCCGACACATCAACTCAGCAACAGTCCCGCATCAACAACGAGACGCTCGGAAAGAGGAAAGTGTCAGACGTTGAGATCGGGAGTTCTCCGAGAAGAAGTAATAGATCGAAAAAGCCCAGAGTTATATTCGGATCAACAAGCAATTGTAATTAGGCGCAAATAGTGTGATAAAATAATAGACTGGGATTACAATATTCTATGAGGGGAGGTGTTTGTATGGGATTCGAATAATGCGCGTTCGTACGCCAGAGCCCTCTAGCAGCACTAGCCAGAGACAATAAAACAGTTGACTACAACTCATTGTGGAGCACGCATCGTCTATTCCTTGGATAGGGATCTACAGGAATAGTTGGGAACATCGACTAAGAAACTCTCTCAACCTGAGATGCCAGCAGCACCAGAGGATCCAGCAACACCAGGCTCCGAGCCAGAAGAGTTCCAGCGGACATCAACCTGTTCAGCCCCAGCATCCGATCAATCATCTGATCCGGCAGACAATTTCCAGGAACTCGAGGAAAAGCAGCTCCTTCAAGAGGATGTCGCCGTCAAGCGACTCCTCGCTTCGACACTTGAGGTAGGCCTAGCATCGAAGCCTACCGAGTCCCCAGCATCTCGCAGCCCAGCTCAGGCGGATATATAACGAAAGCATTGGACCAGCAGCAGGACGTTAAGAAGAAGTATCCGGATCTGGCACGATACCAGCCATCCGGCGCCCAGAGAGTGGCCGTTCCAGCACAAGAGTCTACACCGATCCAGCAGCACGCGCCGGACGAAACCCGACCCAGCAAACCCTAAGGTCAGCAGATCCAACTTTCAGCAGTTCCAGCAAGCAGCGAGCAGGTCGCGATCCCCAATGCGGAACTCCTGGCCATGCTCCTCAAAATCCAGATGCAGCTAGCGGAGCGAACACAACACGAAGTTCCCCGGCAACACGTGGAAGGCCGACTACAAAAACTTCAGCGGTGAGCCTACCCAAGACGCAGCGGAATGGCTAACATGAGATCCTTCGACCGCAGCGCAGACTACAACGGCGATGATGAAACGATCAAGCTGAGGCGAGTACCACTGTCTTTGACACGCTCTTGCATGATACGAACGAGTCCAGTCCGAGCTCGTGTCGTGGGCCACGTTCGAGGCTCACTTCAAGAGCCGCTTTGTAGATCTCGCGGCCAAACGGCAACGGAAAACTAGAGACGCCCACGAGAGATAAAGACCAACGACTCACTCCGCACTTGGAGAACACAATGAAATCGTGTTACGACTTCGACCAAGAAATGAGCGAGGAGCGGGCCATCGAAAGGTGCCTCCAGACACTTCGGTCGGAGGAAGCTTACGCGCTTCCCTCTGTCAGACCGGCGACCATCAGTGCGCTGCGGGCTCACCTCACATGGATGGACAAGATGATCCCGCATCTAAACGAGAGAAAGTCACCGCCATCGGATCTAGCAATCAACAGAATCGGGGGATCCAGCAGAAACGACGACGGAGAAGTCCGCTTCGGTCCGTCTGCTAGCCAGCATAACAATAACACGTGCTGTGAACGGTGCTAAGAAAAAAACTCAAAAAAAGGTGTTAAAAAACCCTAAAACTAAACTAAACTTTCAACAAAAGTGAAAGTGAAGTGCTATAGTACCTGTGTCAAAGTTTGAAGGGATATCATTCGAAGAATCATGTCTCGGAACGACAACAAGGTTTGCGATGGCTGTAAAGACAGCTACCACAGACTCATGGCACAAAATGTGCCGTGTATACCATGTGCTATAGCAGCAACACAAATAGATAAGGTGAATATGGCCCAGAGCCAGGTTACCTCGCTAAGCGAGGAACTCGCCAAATCAAAAGAGAGGGTAGAAACTCTCTACAAACAAAACATTGACCTGGTACAGGTCAACGTAGAAAGCTCGCAAAGATCAGAGAGAGCTCTGAAAGAAGCGCAGGGAAAATCCTTGCGCTGAACGAACGAGTTGAAGAGCTCATGAAGGAGCTAGAAAAACAAAAAAATCCGGAAAGTGCGGGCGAAGCCCAGTCACAGATGGATACGAATGAAAAAGAAGAGGCTCCGAAGGACCTCACATTGATTATCGGGGACGGGATACTCGTTCAAATCATGAAGGAAAACCTTCCATGGTTCAAACCCCTGTTCAAGAAGGGCTTGCTTGTAAGACAAGCCAAATCGAATAACAAATCTCTCCCGTACTTCCTAGAGTCAGTGAGAAAACTCACAAAAGACGCGGTCGAAGGCCGCGTCATAAACATCTTGTGCTTCCTAGGCACTTCCGATCTCCTAGGCAAAGACTATGAGATTGGCCAGGAAGGCGAGTACGCGGAGAGACTAATAGAATGTCTCAAAGAAATTGGGAAAGAACCAGGAGTCTTGAGTGTGACATGGGCAACCCTTATTGCACCTCCTGGAAATCAGCTTCAAAATGAAGCCTACGCAATAAACGAGCAGGTAATAGCCTGGCTCAAAACTCAGGAAGATATTAACCACATGAACCTGAGACAAATTATCGTAAACAAATGGCTCGCGAGCGGAGAAGGGACGAGTGACCAAGTCACCTCCCAAATACTCTCCAAGAAGGGATTAGAATCCCTCATGGAATCAATCGAAGATTGGTTCTACAAAGTAAATAGATACAATGAGGATGAAATCCTCAGTTGCAAAGAGGAAATTCGCAAGGCGAAGAAAACCCCTCAGAAAGAGAAGGAGCCAGAGAAAGCGAAAGAAGTAGTCCGGGTCGAACAAAATGTGAGACCCACAGCAGAAACAAACGTGAGAGGGAGCTGGCGTGGGCGTCCATACGATCGATCTGCACCAAGAGGGCGAGGACATCCCACCTCTGCTCCGTACCCTCGAAGAGGGCAAAGAGGAGCTTTTAGGGGCAGGGCGAGAGGCAACAGAGGAATAGAGGCTT